CTGGGATGTATTGAGTGGAGCTGTGAGCACTGATGCTTGTAACTCCAAGCTAAACACATTTTTATGATGTTCCTCTCTTTAAATGACCTTGCCCTGTCCAATAAGTAAATGATTGTCTCAAAAATTTAATTCAAGAAGGATCATATACCATAAAGCTGTTAAAGGAAGACAGGAGATTCTCTCTCTGATTTTAGGGTAGGCAAAGTTTTCTTAGTGTGTGACTAGGGTTCCCTCCATGACCAAACTTTAGACGGGCTCTTCTAAGCTTTTCCAACTAGGTCTTGAGTTTTGAACTTCCATGTTCCTCTCTGCATCGTCCAATTTTAGCACCATCCTCCATGTCTGATCACCTTTCGCATCTGATCTAGTTCCTTATCCCCTACCATCCTGCAGGTGACATGTGACCACCCTGGCCTGCCTTTAGGTTGGTTTAGCCAGAATCTCCCCTTGTCCTTGATATTTTATGTTAGTGATTTTCCATCCACCAACCCCTGTGCTGCTGCTTCGCAATAAACTCCCACTTGCCCATGCTGTATTCAGAGTTGAGTGCAATCTCTCTCCCCCATTTCAAGACTCCATAACTATTTGGTTGCCCTCCCCTTAAATAAAATCTTCCTTACCACTGTTCCTTAACAAGTGTAATGAACAATTTTTTCTTTAACAAGAGGACACAAAAGGCATAAAAGAAAATATTGATAAATTAGACTTCACCAAAGTTTAAAATGTCTGCTTATCAAAAGACACTGTTAAGAAAATAAATATGCAAGTCCTGACTAGGATAAATCATTTGCAAAATATATACCTGACAAAGAACTGGTGTCTGGAATATGTAAAGAACTCTTAAAACCCCAAAGTAAAAAGAGTGTAAACAACCCAGTTAAGAAATGAAGAAATGACTTGAAGAGACATTTATGTTTTTTGAGGGGGGTAATTAAGTTTTCCTACTTATTTACAGAAGAAGTAGTGGGGATTGAACCCAGGACTTCATGCATACCAAGCATGCACTCTGCCATTTGAGCTATACCCTCCCCTGAGGAAATACTTCATAAAAGAAGAGTTACAAATAAATGTCCAATAAATCCATAGAAAAGTAGTTAATACCATTAGTCATCAGAAAAGTGCAAATTAAAATCACATTGTGACACACCACATGTATCAGAATGACTAAAATTAAAAAGACTGACAACACCAAAACCAACTCTCAATCAAATTGGTGGGAATATAAAATGGTATACCATTTTGGGAAAAGATCTGGCTGTCTGTATAAAACTAAAATATATTGACCTATGGCCCAGCAATTCCATTCCTAGGATTTTACTCAAGATAAATAATACCATATGCTCACAGACCTATGTATATAGAAATGTTCATAGCTGCTTTATTCATAATAGGCAAACCTAAAAACAGACTGGGGCTCACCAATGGGAAAATGATTTGAAAAATCTGTAGTTTACACATACAGTAAAATACTACTCACCAATAAAAAAGAGTAAATTACTGATACAAGATAGATGAATCTTACAAGTATTACTCTGAATAAAAGCCTATACAAATGAGTAGGTATAGTATTTATTCCATTGGTATGTAATTCTAGAACAGGCAAAACTAATGTATGGTGGGGGAAAAAAAACACAGGAGTGGTTGCCTGTGGGGTGGGGGTTGAGACAAAGATTAACTGGGAAGACAAGTGAGGGAACTTTCTGCAGATGATGTCAATGTTCCATCTTTTTTTTTTTTTACTTATCTTTTTTTTGGGGGGTAATTAGGTTCACTTACTTATTTTTACTTGGAGGTACTGGGAATTGAACCCAGGACCTCATGCATGCTAAGCACACAGTCCACCACTGAGCTGTACCCACCCCGCTAAAGCAGTAGTTTTCAAACTCTAGTGTGTGTATAAATCTCATTAAGAACTTGCTAGAATCTTAAGATCCCACCCCTGAGAAGTCTGTCTTCTCAGGTTCAGGGGTAGGGCCCCGGAACTGTCATGTTTAAGAAGACCAACAAAGCACTCTATTATAGGCAGTCCCCAGGTCATACTTTGAGAAACACTGGTGAAAAGAAATTGATTCATGTAGTTCCTGCAATTTCAGTTCTCACCTCAAAAATAACCCTGTCCTGTTTCCAAATACTTAAAATCACAAAACTATGGCACCACTGATTCTTAGAAACATCTTTTTCCTCCTCACCTTTGGGTGTCAATCAGAATGGGGCCCTAGAAGAGAAGTTACTATGGATATTGGTGATATCGTAGGCAGAATGATCATTTATTGAGCACCTACTATCTGCCAGACAGTATTGGAAATGCTTTATAAATGTTATTGCATCTAATTCTCATAACAACTTTGCAGGGTAGGTGGTATTGTTCTTATTTTACAAATGAGGAGAAAACCTCAGAGAGGTTATCTAACTTGTCCATAAGCTACCTTCACATAACCTACCTGACAGACTTGAGATTCAAACTCAAGTCAAAGCCATTGCACTTTCATACACATAACCCCCATTATTATTGTGAATGATTATTATTATTTCTATGAGGTCATGCCCTAAGGAGAACATCTTGGTCGGCTGTGACTTTAAGCTCATCCATCCATTTATTCATCCATATATTCATTTAACAACACTTAATTAAGCAACTACTATGTGCCAGAAACTGTGCCAGGCATAACGGACACAAAGGTGAAGGTCTTTAGCATTATGGAACTTACAGGGATACACACAAGTATACAGGCAGTTATAACACAGGGTAAGTACTATAATATAATCCACCTAATTTAATCTACAAATTTAATATGTCCCTCAATAATGACACAAAAATCATTGTTGCTGGAACTGGACAAGCTGACTTGAAAGTTCATTCGGAAAAATAAAATTGTAAGAAGATCTAAGAAACTCCAGAAAGAGAATGGAAGTGACGGAAAAGTAGGTCTCCATCATTAAAAAAAAAGAAGCTATTAGGACAATTTGGTAATAATACATGAATAGATGAATTAATGAATTAATGGTATGGACTGGAGAATCCAGAAACAGCCTCAGATACAAATGGGAATATAATTATACACACATACACACACACACACACATATTTCACACTAGCGATGGGGGAAATATAAGATTATTCCGTAGAAGTGTTGAGGTGTATGTGTAGCCAACTAAAAAGACAAAATAAAAAATAAATTCCAAATGCATCAAAGACTTAAATATTTAATATAAAATTATAAAGGTACTTAAAGGAAACATGGTATAAATGAACTATGATTGAGAAGGGTATAAGGTTGGTGGGAGACTTTTACTGAATTGACTTTTTTATCTTTTAAAACATATTTACAATGTGTTACCCATCAAAAAAAAAAGTTTTTTTGAGTATCTTGTTAAGAGTGTTTGACCAGGGAAATAAAAGTTTAGCTTTAGCATAGTGAATGAGGGGTAGGAAGTCTTATGAGGCTGGAGAAGAAAGAAGGGTCAGTTCATGAAACTAATTGACATGTTAAAAATGTGGGTTTTATAGTATAAATAATGGGGAGCTATTAAAGGTTTTAAAGCAGTGGACTATGCAACCATATTTGCAATATAGAGCGATCACTCTAAGCTATAAGACTGCATAGACCTGTAAGGGATAAAACTGAAGGAGGGGAAATGGACTTCTACCAAGTGAGGGATGATGGTGGCCTGAACGAGGCAGGTGGTGAATGACTATGGTGAGGTCGCTTAGATTTGAGAGATGTTTAGCAGTTAGAATCTTGTGATGTTAGAGGTGAGGGAGAGATCTAGAATGAAGTCTAGATGGAGAAGTGGCGGTAATGGGGGAGAAAGAGCTGGATTTGGGGTGTAGGGATAAGTGAGATAAAACACTCAGTTTATATGCCTTCCAGATGTCCCATTGGAAACACCTAAGCAGCCAGGCTTTAAACTCCGCAGCTTGAAAGAGGGAGACCTATGACTGGAGATAAAGAATTTGGGATTTATCAGCATATAGGTGGTAACTGAAGACCTGAGAGTAGATGAGATCACCGAAGGAGAGCACTTAGTGTGAACAGACCTAAGACAGAACATAAGAGACAGGATAAAGAAAAGAAATGTCTCCTGAGAAGGGTCTAGAGAAGGAAAATTTGGAGAGTGATAGGAAGTCAAGTGAAAAGTGTTTTGATTAGGAGAGTGGTCCTCAATACCAAAGGCTAGGGGTGGTCCAAATGAGGATGAAATGTGTCACTTGACTTAAATACAGGGGAAGAATAGTTGAGCGGAGGGTTTAGGTTAAGCAGAGAATGAAGAGGAGGCATCTTGTCTCCTCCTGAGGAGACAACTCGTTTCAAGTTTGCCTAAGACGGAGAAGAGTGCAGCAGCTGGGGGAAAGACAGAGGCCTTTTTTTTTTCCCCTTTTGTTTTTTTAAGGATCAGTTGAACGTATCTAAAACGATGATCAAAAGCCAATATACAGGGAGACAGAGGAGAGAAGGAGGAATTGAATAATACCAGATGTGAGGGGTGGGATCCAGGGCAGATAGGAGGGAAGCCTCTTTCACCGTGAAAGAAAGGAAAGTAAAGAAGGGAAGTTGGCAGATTCTAAAGGTTTGGTGCAGGGAAGCTGATGGAACTTTGGTTCGATGGTTTCTATTTAACTCGGTAAAATGGGCCCAGAGTAAGGGGGCTGGCAATGACTCAAGGTCTGAGGATAGTGGGGTTTGAAGAGCCTTTCGGAAACGCCGGGCGGCCTAGGATGGTCCACGCTGGAGTCTCGAGAGGGAGACCCCCAGTACAGCTCGGAGGTGACGCCGTCGTGGTGCGCTGCCATGGCAACAGAACCGCGGGATCAGGCCCAGGACCAGTTGTAACCCGACAGAGTCGCGACGTTTTAACACACTTCGAGAAACCAGGAGAGGTGCCAGCCCAAGGCGTCCAAAATGAAACCAGACCCCGCGATATCACCGCCACAACCTGTGGAACTGCCCGTGACGTTACCGCCACGCAGCGCGACAGCGAGTATTACACGTCATCGTCCTGAGACGCGGTCGCTGGAATAGGACGCCCTCCCGGAAGTGGGCTCAGAATCGGCAGAGAAAGTGGCAGTCTGTAGCCCCCGGGACCAGTTCTGGGGAGGTCGCAGCTGAATTATTTCTCTGCGTTTCTTCTCGATTCTTCCTGAGTCTTCCAGGTTCACCTAGCGAGGAAACGTCTCCACCATCATGGGGGGCGGAGACCTCGTAAGTGAGGGAGCCCAGGGTTGGGGAGGACTGAGGCCGGAGACCGACTGGGGCTGGGGGCGGAAATTGGCGGGGGTGGGAGCGGGTAACCATGGCAATGCAGCTGTGCTTTCGGAGAGAGGAAGCTATATCCCTGGACATGGGATGAATCGTTAAGGCCATGGAGGGACGGGGGGAGACTTGGGGAGGTGTGTGAGGTGTGTCGCCAAGGGTGGCAGGTGGTGGTTGTTGACGGGGAGTGCCTTCCGGTTGGAAATTCTGAGCAGGCCCGGGGGCGGTTGGAATCCTGGCTAGGAAAGGAGGCGGGTATGAAGGACATGTCACGCAGACTTTGTTTTGTATACCTTGTCTTGGGACACATCTTTCCTCAGCTACGAGTTCCGTCATGTCCTGGGCTGTAGTAGGGGTGATTTTGTGTTCCATTCTTCTGGTCCGTGAGCCATGTCCTGAGTCTATTTTAAGCCTGAAGAGCTCTTTCTTATGTTCCCCTTTCTGATTTCCACTCCTTCTGGTCTGCATTCTGGTCTGTAGAGGCAGAGCTTTCTTCTGAAGTCATAGCACTTAATATAAGTTATGTGTTTATTTCTCTTAAACTGTGTAGTTCACTTGTAGGGGGCTAAGGCCCCTAACTGGACAGATGTACACACAAGAGCATAGTGCAAGATCAGAAAAATGCTTATGTCCTGAAACTGCAGCTAATTGAATCAGCAGATAGATCTGTTTAGTCACCTGTCCAGTAGCTATATTGAAATTTGTCAGGTGTTATCAATTAGCATGAGTTACAAGATGCCATCAAGGTTCCTCCAATTCAGTGTCTTCAAGTAGCCACATTAGAGACAGGAAAGCTCTAATCCAGAGTTTCTCACTCTCATTTGACACTATTGACATTTTGGACTGGATAATTCTTTGTTGTGTGTGTGCTTTTGTGCATGTAGGATGTTTAGCAGCATCCCTGGCCTCTAGCCCCTGAGCCCTTTTCCCTAAGTTGTGACAACCAAAAATGTCTCCAGACATTGCCAAATGTTCCCTGGTAGGCAAAGTCACGCATATTGAAGGTGAGAGAGAAGAACCATTAGGACAAGGTACAGGGTGGAGGAGAAAGGAAGGACTGAACAACCTGACAAAGGGAAAGGGAGGACAAGAAGAGAGAGAAAAGGAAAAAAAAGGGAGCCCTCATTGACTGAACACCTTCCACATGCTGGGTACCTTGTGTCCCTTTTCTCATTTAGACTTCTTAACTAGTCTTCAAGCTTGGTCCTCTCCAAACCAATATATGGTGGAGAGGTAGGTAATTTGGTCTGTTTGTTTGCTTGTTTGTTTTAATGGAGGTACTGGGGATTGAACCCATGCTGAGCACACCCTCTACCCCTGAGCTGTACCCTACCACCCTCTAGTCCATTCTTAACATGCTAGGCTGGTCATGCCTCTCACCTGCATATGAATGTTTAGTGTTTTCCACTAAAATCCAATCCCTTAACATGGCTTAGAAGGCCCTTAATCTGTTGCTTTCTTAGGTTGACTTCATCTTAAGCCTGCTTTCCATCAGCTTTCTCTCCCATCTCCAGCCACGCTGAATTATTTATATGATATTCTTTCTCACCACTGGGCCTGCAGTTGTGTGTACTGTTCTTTCTGCTTGGAAACCTACACTTGTCCTCCCCTCTTCTTACATCACTGGGCTAATTTGTAATTGTTCTTAAATGTCACTTCCTCCAGGAAACCTTCCCTGATTGGGAAGCTGAACCAAAGCAGTGGCTCATGGGGAGGAGGGAGAGGAGAAGCATTCCTTGAGGGTGAAGGGGAAGATCCGAACCAGGGGGAGAATCTTGGGAAGGAAGGTTGAAAGAGGTACTAGGTGGGGTTGTAAACCATGCAAGTTTCTGGCAGGTTAAGTGGACTCAAGGAAAAGAAGATTGTGTTCATAAGAATGAATGTCCAGTGCCAAAGGCACTTGAGTTCTTTTGCCTTTCAGAGTCTATCCCTTCCCATGTCCCTGTCCCATTCCTCTTGTATTGTCATCATCAACCCTGACTTCTGGCATGGCCAGTGGAGGTCAGACTCATAGACATTTCAGGTTAGAAGTGTTTGGAGGGAATTTTGGAGGGGCCTGTTCTACCCTGAAGCTTTATGTACTTAAACAAACCACCCTCTGGTGTGTGAGAGATTACTGCCATTATTAAAGGCATCTCACCTCACATGCCTGCCTGGGCTTGAATAGAGAAGTGGGCCAGGTGGGACTGATTATACTCACCCACTCCGTGCATTGTTTTCTCCCTCCTTTCATTTACCGCAGAATCTGAAGAAGAGCTGGCACCCTCAGACCCTCCGCAATGTGGAGAAAGTGTGGAAGGCCGAGCAGAAGCATGAGGCTGAGCGCAAGAAGATTGAGGAGCTTCAGCGGGAGCTGCGGGAGGAGAGGGCCCGGGAGGAGATGCAGCGCTATGCAGAGGATGTCGGGGCTGTCAAGTAAGCGGGGATATGTGGGGTGGTTTGGGCTGGAGGTGCCGTGGTGTGTGGGGAATTGCAGGATGGGCCTGCAGGTGTATTGTCCAATTGTTACATAACAGCTTGGTTAAGAGCGTGGGTGTTGGAGACAGGCTGACCTGGGTTCTAAGGCTGGCTTTGCAAGGACTAGCCTAGCCATGTAACTGGGAGCAAGTTTCGGAGCCTTGGTTACCTCAGTAGAACCCGGGGAGGGAGAGTACCCAGCATCTAAGGTTTGTTGAGGATCAAATGAGGTAACGTATAAATGACGTAGTGTAGGCCAGGTTAGTGGTAGATGATTGACGTGACTCTGACTGAAGATGAGTGCCTCTACCCTGCCTCTCCATGTGTGTTGAGGCTGCAGTCCTGCTTTTGTTTATTTATATATTGCAGACTCATTTTAGGGGGCAGGGACGTCTCATGGAAGGAAGTGGAGAGTGTGTGTGTCAGTAAAAGCTGTGTAACTGTGACTGTGGACAGTTCTGTTCACTTTTACCTGACTTCAGTTTCCTCCTGTATAAATAGGAGTTGCGATTGATAATTACCCTGCCCATTTCATGAAAGGGGGTGGAAAGTAAATGTTTTCTGAGAAAAATGAAAGGCATAAAATATAGAACACTTTCCTAAATCAGAATTGAATAAAACTAGACAGACTAAAATGTGTAGTCTGTACTATCCCTTGTTCATATCCTGTGGGCAAGTCTCCAGGGTGGCATGTGCCACACTTACCCCACTGGATATAGAGGGCTTTTTCTTAATTTCATGACAGGAGATTTGGGACATTCAGGGTGTGTGTGTGTGTGTGTGTGTGTCAGAGAGAGAGAGGCTTAGTTTCAATTCATGGAAAAGGCATTTTAGAATTTAGGATAACAGTCATGTTCTTTCAGGATAATGGATTGGGAAGAAGGTCTTTCTGACTTAAGTATGAAATCTGGAATGTTTTAAAATAAACTGAGTTTTAGAATTTTTAAGTATACTATATTTAGGGCATTAATATACAAAATGAGGTAAAGAGAATGGGATTTTGTAAGTTTTTTTAACCATGGATACACATTAGTTTACTTTATGTACTTTGTGTAAGTTATATTCTTTATAATTTAAAGCAAATAAATTTCACACACTTGAATTA